AGGCAGAAGGATTGCTTGAGCCCAGGAGTTTGAGGTTGCTGTGAGCTAGGCTGATGCCACGGCACTCTAGTCCGGGCAACATAGTGAGACTCTGTCTCAAAAAAAAAAAAAAAAATTGAGTATGGTTCCCATACCATAAAATTCATCCTTTTAAAGTATACATTTCAGTTTTTTAAAAATCTTTTGTTGTGCAACCATCACCAATATCTAGTTCCAGAACATTTCAGTTACCCCAAAAAGAAATCTTGTACCCATTAGGAGTCATTCCTCATTTCCCCCAACCCCATCCGCTGGCAGCCTCTACTCTACTTTATATATCTATTGATTTGCCTATGCTGTATATTTCATATAAGTAGTAACTTGTAACATGTGGCCATTTGTATCTGGCTTCTTTCACGTAATACAATGTTTTCAAGGTTCCATCCAGGTTGTAGCATGTATTTGTACTCAATCTTTTTTATGGCACAATAATATTCCATTTTATAGATATATGATGTTTTATATATCTTTTCATTAATTGATGGACATTTGGGTTGTTCCCTCTTTTTGGCTATTATGAGCAATGCTACTATGAACATTTCTGTACAAGTTTTTCTGTGGACATAGATTTCATTTCTCTTGGGTATATACCTAGAAGTAGAATTGCTAGGTCTTTTGGTAACTATGTTTAACATTTTGAGGAACTGCCAAACTGCTTTCCAAAGTGGATGCACCATTTTACATTCCCACCAGCAATGTATGAGGGCTCCAGTTTCCTCACATCCTCACTAACACTTGTTATTTTCCTCCTTTTTTTGTTTGTTTGGTTTTGGTTTTTTTGGAGACATTCTCTCTCTCTGTCACCACAGCTAGAATGCAGTGGTGTCATCATAGCTCACAGCAACGTCAAACTCCTGGGCTCAAGAGATCAGATCCTTCTGCCTCAGCCTCCTGGGTAGCTGGGACTACAGGTGCATGCCACCGTGCCTGGCTAATTTTTCTATTTTTTGTAGAGATGGGGGTCTCACTTTTGCTCAGGTTAGTCTCAAACTCCTGACCTCAAGCAGTCCTCCTCCCTCAGCCTCCCAGAGTGCTAGGATTACAGGTGTGAACCACTGCGCCTGGCTCCATTTTTTTTTTATAGCCATCTTAGTGGGTATGTTTAGGTACCTTTTAAAACCTTTTATGTAAACAAGTAATAAATGAAGTTTTTTTCTTATAAAGTATTAGCATTATGTAGTTCAAGCTAAAGACCCTATGACCTCCACTCTAGTCAGTTCCTATACCTTACCTGGAAGGAACAGTTGTTTTCAGTTTGGTATGTATTTTTCTAGAATCTTCAGAAATTCTCAATGTAGATGGCCTTTAACACATTGACTGCCACGTGAGTTGTATTTAACTCTGGCTAATTTTGACCCTGGGGCTGCATGAAGCAAAACCCTGCCGTTGGTTAGTAAAAATCTTACTTGTTCATGTTCTTATTGTTA